CTATACCATGCATTAATACATTATCGCACTATTTATTCTACATATTTTACAGTGATATGTATTTATACACACTGACTCTGGAAATAGGGAATACTTCTTTGGTCTTCCATAGTAGGCTGCAGGTTCTAAAAGCAGAAATCCTGAACCTCTGAAGGTAGCCTAAGAAAAATATTCACTTGAAACCTTGAAGTAGTCCTTTAGCAGTCTACATTGTAACAACAAAAAAAGAGTCAAGATGTTTGCTTTTGTTCTGTTTATTTCTTTTTGGAAGGCAAGGGAGGAGGCTAAAAAAAAAAAGTTTGGTTTCTGCTTCAAAGAGCTTTTCTCTAAGAGTAGGGATTCATTTTCATTACACATCAACGTGGACGAACACCGTTCTTCCGGTTTTCATGACAATTTGAATTCTAGGTAATATGTATAATATATATTTTTCTGAAATCCAGTGTATTTATCTGGACATATGGGTGTTCCCTGTGCTCTTGTTCACATATGGAAGGAACTGGCACTTTGGCTTCAAGAACAAATTTAAAATCACAAATCCAACTTGTCTTTGATTTGGGTCTGGGCTAATTACCAATGAAATATTCAGCAATAATGGCCTCAAACATTTAAATATCCTATGAAACTGCAATTAATTAAGAGAAGGCTGATTCTAAGAACTATGCCACCAGTAACAGAATGAGAGAAGAATTTTCAGTCTGGATGCCAAGTTCAGAGCAAAATATCTGTAAACTTCTTCTCATTTTTGCAATATTTATAAATAAAGTACAGGGGATAAGAATTATATGAATAATGTTAAATAAAAGTGCATACAGAACTGGGAAATGGTTTTCTTTAAATTTGCCACTTATTCTAGTTCAATAAAATGCTTGTAGAGAAAATAACCACTTAAGGCAGAAGACTAGTTACATTGTTGCTGTTCAGAATTTCTTGAGAGCAAAAGAATGAATACCAATCAACTTCCCTGGTTTAAACTTATGTGTCTTAAAACATGTTATTTTGTAAGTTGAACATCTAAGTTATGCCTTGAAAATTCAAAGCAGGAAGTTAAATCACATAGAAAGCCAGAAAACTTCATCAATACATCTAGACAGATGTTTGCTTGTAGTTTTTGGTATCTAAAACCTTTTTTCCACACATCGCACAGATA